AATTCCGTCCCTCTCGGGTTACTCGCGGCTTTTCTCTGCGCAGAGACCACTTTCCTCATCGGATGCTGGACTTCGCTTCAGTTCAAGTGGCTTCAGCTGGAAAATCCCTCCATTGTTGTTGCTCTAGAGCGACTCTTGTTCGCCTGCGTACCCTTCACTGCATCTTCGTTTTTCGCCTGGGCTACTATCTCCGCCGTTGGGATGAACAACTCTTCTTACTATTTCCTCTTGTTCGCTTGCGTCTTCTACTGGGTTTTCGGTATTCCTAGGGTTTCTTCATACAAGACCAAGCAGGAAGCTAAGTACCATGGAGGAGAAGTCCCTGATGATAACTTTATCCTTGGACCGCTCGAGAGCTGTTTCCTTTCACTGAATTTGATGTTTATGCCGCTTCTCTTTCACGTTGCTTCACATTACTCTGTGATATTCTCATCAGCATCGACAATCTCCGATTTGGGGCTTCTGTTCTTTATCCCTTTCCTGTTCCAGCTCTATGCCTCCACAAGAGGTGGTTTATGGTGGGTTACCAAGAATTCCAATCAACTGCAGAGCATTCGGATTGTGAATGGGGCCATTGCCATGGTCGTTATTGTGATCTGTTTGGAGATTAGAGTTGTTTTCCGCTCTTTTGGGAAGTATATTCAAGTTCCCCCTCCAGTGAATTACCTTCTGGTGACCATAACAATGCTTGGAGGTGCTGCTGGAGCTGGTGCTTCTGTTCTTGGAATGATCTCGAGTGCTCTTAGCTCAGCCTTTTTCACAGCTTTGGCTGTGATTGTGAGTTCTGCAGGAGCTATCGTTGTAGGATTTCCACTTCTGGTAAGTATCTCTACTTTTAATTGTACAGCTCCTATTACTATTGTAATCAATAACTAGTTACTTTAGCTTTCCTGTAATCAAATTTTAATTGTAATTAGACAAGTAGGTGTCCCATGGACCTCGTTTCTTTTAGGCTAGCATATTGCAAGCTACCAGCGGTGTATGTTATCTAATAGCTGGTCGTAGGAATTGGAAAAATTGTTATTTTTTCCTGTATTTATGTCTGGATCGGCGGTATAAGCTTTTGAAGGCTGTAGTTCCAAATTATAGCAAAAATGCTTACAGAATCTTAAAACCGTAGCTTTTAAAGTTTGAAATGTTGCATGGTCCTAAAAGTTTTGATTCTAACTATATGTATGACATTTAGACTAAGGACTATGTTGACAATATATTGGTGTGCCTCCTCTGCGGGTGCGTCTTATCAATCCGCACACTATCTCTTAGCTAAAGAAAGTTGACTTGTATGTGGCAGCTGACATCTTCACAGTAATCTTGTAGAACTTTCTGCAGCCAGTTGATATAGTTGCTTTACGGTTTACTGCTATTAAGCATTTGTCCATCTATGAAGGTTTCCTGACTGACAATTGACACATTGGATTTTATTAGTTGCCTCATATATTATGTCCTGTCTTTGATTTATTACCACCTCTATAGTAACAACGGAACTTCACATTCTCTATTTATCTTGCAGTTTACTCCGCTTCCTGCAGTCGCTGGGCTTTATTTTGCTCGGTTTTTTACGAAGAAAAGTGTGCCCTCGTACTTTGCATTTGTTGCTCTTGGAAGCTTAATGGTTATCTGGTTCGTAATGCATAATTACTGGGACTTAAACATATGGTTAGCTGGCATGTTCCTCAAATCGTTCTGTAAGCTTATAGTGGCTAACATTATCATAGCCATGGTCATCCCTGGTCTTGTTCTTCTCCCATCAAAATTTCACTTCTTGACTGAAGCTGGTATGGTGGCCCACGCATTATTGCTGTGTTACATTGAGGACCGCTTTTTCAATTACTCAAGCATATACTATTATGGAATGGAAGACGATGTGATGTACCCAAGCTACATGGTGATCTTGACGACGCTAATTGGATTGGCTGTGGTGAGAAGACTATTCGCTGATCACCGAATTGGAACAAAGGCAGTCTGGATCTTGACCTGTCTGTATTCAGCAAAGTTGGCTATGCTGTTCCTTTCATCAAAATCAATTGTATGGGTGTCCGCAGCTCTATTGCTGGCTGTTACCCCTCCCTTACTGCTATACAAGTATGTACTGGGCATTTTGACTTTTACAAGCATCGTCTCAACTTAAATTTAAACATTTATTCTATTTTACTCCATTGGTGGACTGTGCAGGGAGAAGACTAAATCTGCCTCTAAAATGAAACCATGGCAAGGTTATGCTCATGCAGTCGTGGTTGCTGTCTCTGTTTGGTTTTGCCGGGAAACAACATTTGATGCTCTACAGTGGTGGAATGGAAGACCTCCATCTGATGGCTTGCTTCTTGGTTTCTGCATCGTTTTGATTGGTCTGGCCTGTATACCAATTGTTGCCCTCCACTTTTCCCATGTCCTGGTATGTCTGTTATACTTTTTMATAATGTTTCGTTTGATGTATATCTGTTTGATTGTCTAGAAAAGGACCGATCTTCCATTTTTGAGTCAAGCTAGTTATCGTTGCTACCTAGGAAAGAGTTCTCCAACAAGATTCTTAGGGTCAGCAGCATTCTTTAGCAAATCTCTAGTTCTTGGTTCCTATGAGGTCGATTAACATGTTATGAGTTTGTCGATTACTATCAAAGGTTACATCATGGAGTTAAATTAAAGCATGACAATGAATATATATGGCGATGTTTTGAAGGAAGATTGCTCTACTTAGCTGATTTCTTGAACGCATTCGTGTTATTAACTTCAACTTAAAAGTCCATGGTGTAGTAAGGCTGTATCTAGCTGTAGTCGGTTTGGAGTTAAGGTCTTGATTTTATGAGTTTAAGTACTAAAAACAGATTGTTCAGCTGTTGCCTTTTACTGATCAGGACAATTTTCTTATTTCTTGCAGTCGGCTAAGAGAAGCTTGGTATTGGTAGTGGCAACTGGATGCATGTTTATTCTGATGCAGCCACCAATGCCTATGACGTGGAGTTACCATTCAGACATGATCAAGGCCGCTCGTCAGTCAGCTGATGACATCTCCATCTATGGATTCATGGCATCCAAACCGACTTGGCCGTCTTGGTTGCTTATTGTGGCACTCCTGTTAATTCTTTCGGCTGCTACATCTCTCATCCCAATCAAATACGTGGTGGAACTGAGAGCATTTTACTCCATCGCTATGGGTTTAGCTCTCGGTGTTTACATATCTGCAGAGTTCTTTCTACAAGCTGCTGTTCTACACGCCCTGATCATTGTTACAATGGTGTGTGCCTCAGTTTTTGTCATCTTCACCCATTTTCCATCTGCCTCAAGCACAAAGCTGCTTCCCTGGGTGTTTGCTCTTCTCGTTGCTCTATTTCCCGTGACATATTTGTTAGAAGGGCAGGTCAGAATTAAAAACGTTTTCAGTGATAATGTTGCATGGGGTTGGGACGCAAGGGATGAGGATAAGAAAGTTACAACCATGTTGGCGATTGAAGGTGCAAGAACATCTCTTCTAGGTCTCTATGCAGCGATATTTATGCTTATAGCTCTCTTGATTAAGTTTGAGCTCACTTCGCTATTGCGTGAGAAATTCTCTGAGAGGAGTGGTCAGTCAAAAACCCAAGGCGGCGCAAGAGGGATGTTCCCAACACGAATGAGGTTGATGCAGCAACGCCGAGCCACCTCGACCCAAAGCTTTGCAATAGAGAAAATGTCAGAAGAAGGAGCGGCCTGGATGCCTTCAGTTGGTAACGTTGCCACCATCATGTGCTTTGCCATATGCTTAATCCTCAACATTCACCTCTCTGGCGGTTCAAGCCAAGCGATATTCTTCCTGGCTCCAATCTTACTTCTCCTGAACCAAGACTCCGATCTCTTATCTGGGTTCGGCGATAAACAGAGATACTTCCCGGTTGCACTCGCCATTTCAACATACTTGGCGTTATCCTCTCTCTACACTATATGGGAAGAAGTTTGGTTCGGTGGAAACACGGGTTGGGGAGTAGAAATCGGAGGGCGTGAATGGTTCTTTGCAGTGAAGAACCTCGCGCTCCTAATACTCACATCACCAGGTCACATTATATTCAACAGGTATGTGTGGAGTTACACCACAAAACACTCAGACGCGTCGCCGATGCTGACCGTGCCACTTAGCTTTGCAGCCGTGGTAATAACCGACGTGTTTCAGGTTCGGCTTCTGGGAGTTTTAGGCATTGTATACTCTGCGGCTCAGTATGTGATATCTAGGCAGCAATTTATAAATGGGCAGAGGTATATTTAGACAGTCGGTAGAACTAGTATGTTTCGAGCCCCTTTTTTGTATAACAGAAATTGTGAAACAAAATTGTTTTTATTTTCTCCACTTTCTTACCTTTATTTTGCCTTTGTTTCTCAATGGATGCATTGGAAATTGCAAAGATACATTTTACAAAACTTATTTATGGTCTTCTTACAAACAAAAACAAAAACAAAAACATTAAGAATCCAAACTAAATGACAAATAGTTTTATTTGGTCGCACATTCTACATAAACATAGCTATAGGGAAAACAAAAACAAGAAGATACAATTAGTGTTGTTTTCCAAAAAAGAATACTATAGTACTAATAGGCAAAGTAACAGAACACATAAATGATTGTCTAAAGAGATGATCTACTCTTGTCTTCCTCAGTTTCAACAGCTCTGTACTTGTACCTATAAGCTGACCAAAGGAATACACAGAAATTCAAGAAGCTCAGAAGCGTGAGCAACCAGTACAAACAGTCGAATCTACCCGTGTTTATGTTTTGCGACAACCACGAGTTTCCATCCGAGCCCCGAGTAGCAACCTTTACAATGTTGTTCAATATTGTGGCAGCAAAACAGCCTAAACCGCCGGCTAGTGCAGCGTAAGCCGATCCAATACTCTTCATAGCATCAGGTGCTTCCTCGTAAAGAAACTCCAACAGTCCTACAATGCAGAAAACCTCTGCGATTCCGATGAGACAGTACTGGATTAACAACCAGTACGCGGTTAGATCAGGCATTTGGGACAAAAAGTTGAACTCGAAGCCGTGCTGTATCGCGTAATGTCTTCTGTAGTTCTCGAATAGTCCAGCCCAAGCTACTGATATGATTGAAACTGCTAGTCCTATTCCCACCTGCATTTGCAAGTAATGATTAGAGATTGACATAAACATTTCAAACCAAATGGTAACAATCTTTTCTTCCAAACCAAAACTAGATTTAGTGTAACTAAGCTGATCCGATTTAACCAAAATTCATCGGTTTTTTTTGTCAACAATATGTAAGATGCGGGCTTGAACCGGGAGTGACACAACAACAACACTAAGGTCACAAACTACTTATGGCCAACCAAAATTTATTAAACATTAATATTTTGGAATTATAAGTTTGAGTATACTCTTGAGTTATATCATATCAGCTAAAATTTAATTTTATAACCAAATGAAATCAATTTAAAACAATTTTGGGATATATTTTCAAAACTGAAAATGCAAAATCTGTAATTGAAAGTTTAAAGCCTAAAAAGAGTTGAGAAAAATGCGGAAAAGTTTTGAGTAATAGTGTACCCTTTGAAGCTGGGAAGCACCATGTGGATTGCCAGTGATTCTTCTGGTGATAGGGACAAAGACAGAGTAATAAAGAGAGAGAATGAGGAAAATGCTGAGTCCTGGGAAGACTGGCATGCATGTCACTGGAAGCTTGAGGTGTTGAATGTGTGTATTCAATGTATAAGCTTGTTGCACTGAGAGTGTTAGATACTCTGTTAGGACCAGACTCAGCATCACAGTGCATGCTGGGATTGGGATCAGTCTGATCAGAATCTTCACTTCTTCCACTTGTGTTACTGTGCATAGCTTCCATGGTGATGGCTCTAATCCATCTTCTTTCAACTGAAGCGCCGCCTTGTCTAGCCATCTACGCCACACAAAATCATCAAAGTCGGTAATGTTGTTCAATGTGATGGTACAGAGGAAGAAGAAAACTTACATGAAATCATTGGAATGAGGGATTTTACGACTGCCATTTATAGCAGACTTCAAGCCTGGAACCTCGTACAGACCGATGAATTCGCCGCTTGTAAAGGCTGCCTTTCGTTTGCGGAAAGCTGCCACTAAGACCTGAGCAACCCTTGTCAAGGGGCTACCACCAGGCAACCTATGGCGATAAAGCGGTGTACCAGCAAAGAACAAAGCATTAGA